TCTTTTTTCTTTATAATCTAATTTCTTATTTTGTTAGCTTTATCATTATTGTATTCTTAAATTTCAGAACTTATTTCAAAATTAGAAATATATGAGTGCATGAAAGTGAAAACCTGAAACTGATTTAATGATTTATTATGATTAATTGCAGGTTTTCACTCTCACGCACTCATATCATATACTAGTTATTATTATATGAATCTAGTAAATCTTATTTCTTCTGATAACTATTTGCTCAGCAGTTAATGCTAACATAATTTAAGTTAAAGTCAGCCTAATCTAGAGTTAACATTGATTAGAATTAAATGCCGAGATAATAACTATTGGTAAAATAGAATCTGTACTAATAAATATATAAGTGTACATATTCACTATATGAAATTAAAGTAATTGATCAAAGGGCTTCAAATAGATTGAATCTTTAATCTAATTCGCAATCCAAAGGCTAAGCTAGCTTTATTAGACTGGAACTGAACCTGACCAAACTATAACATCTCTAGTATAATCGTGAGAAAAGAGTTTTACTAACAATCCTTTTCTTTGTTTTCGTTTCGTCATTTTATTATTTTTTATTTATTGTTTAGTATTTATGTTCATTATGCATTGGGCATTAGATACAAAATCAAAGTTGATCATTCTAAAATATATTAAAGTAGACAAAAAGATCTTGTAAAAGATTTTATCGTCTATTTTTTTTTTTTTCGTCACCTTATTATTTTTTTATTTTATTTGTTTATTTATTGCTAGTGATAGGAAAAATGCGCATTTTATAATAAAATGCACATGAATGCGCATTAATGCACATGAATTGTTTCATGCACATGATATTGCATGATAAAAAAAAGGCAAAAACAATCAAGAGGGGAGAAATTTTGATGGATAAAATATGCATGAAATGTTATCATGCGCATAATTCCTCAATCATGCACACGCATGAAACCTATCTCTATTTATTGCATAGTATTATTTTTGTTATGCATCGAATATTAGATTCAAAATCAAGGGAATATGTATTAAGGAGTTGATCGTTCTAAAAGGACATTAGAATAAAATAGTTAGTAAGTTAATCAATTTAAAATATATAAAAGTAGAAAAAGTTAACTTGTAAAAAGCAGTTCTTTTTTGTATTTAATACTTATCTTAAAGTAAAACTCAAATTCTTAATACATTATCTAATTGAATATTTTGATTACAAGATATTAAATAAGTTCTTATTTGTTTATAATCTAAGTGACCCTTTAAGATTAATACTATATTTGTATAAAGATTTGGCTTTTACCGTTATAAATTATTAAATTATAAATTCTCAAAGAAATTATGAATTCTCAAGAAATTATAGATTCTCAAGAAATTACAAACTCTCAAGAAATCATAGATTCTGAGGATATTACGAATCCTGAAGATATTATGGATTCTGATATTTTAGATTTAAATGAGGATTTTATAACACCATCTAAGAATTTTGGTATACATTGGACGGGTTTTTTGCGTTCAAAAGAATTTAAAAATGATAAAGCCTGGCAATATAATGCAAAGTGTACATATTGTTACGACACAAGATGCAGCTGGAATTTAAGCACGGCACAATGAAAATTTTATTAAACAGACTAAAGAGATAAGTATACAATTTCTTTCTTTTTATCTTGTTATTCTTCTATTACTAATTACTAATTGCTATCGTATGATTGCTGAGGTTCTACGAAACTATGACTACATTGTTAATGCATGGCTTTGTTATTACAACTGGGTTACTTCATTTCTTATGCAAATGAAGTCTTGGATTCATAATGAATCTGGGCTTCGGGCTTGAGTCACAGAATTGAGTCACGGGCTTGAGTCGGGCTTGAATCGGACTAGAGTCACGGGCTTGAGTCAGGCTTGAGTCATGGGCTTGAGTCGGGCTTGAGTCACAGGCTTGAGCAGCTTGGCAATATATATTGTGATCACATATTTGAAGCACGTAAAGAAGCAATGACAAACCATATAATTAATATCTGCCGTAAAATTTCTGCTGAAAAAAGAATATTTTATTCACGAATAATTAAAAACAAACTTGAACAAGTTACTGAAATTTCTACTCACAAAGCGGTTTTAATGACAGATTATTTTGATAAATCTACTATACCACTAGAAAAAGCTACTGAATTACATACTTTGTTATTACGAGCATTATTATATAGCAATATTCCATTTAGTTTTATTGAAAATTCATTTTTTATTTTATTTTTAAACAACTTACGTTCAAGCTATAATCTACCATCAAGATACGCATTGTCAAATAGCATAATTCAAAGTGAATATGCACGAATATTAGTAGAAATGGTTGACCGAATTGGAGAAATGTGTGATTTAACTCTTTCACTTGATGGGTGGACAGATATATCTAGTAACTCTATATATGCTTTTCTTTTGCATAAATTTGGAGATACTAATGAAATTATTAATATAGAAGATTTTTCTAGTACCCGACATATAGCTGATAATTTACTTATTGTAGTAGAAAACTTATTAAAAAATGTCTCTATAAGTTTTGATAAAATTATCGCTATAGTTTCAGATAGTCCTTCAGTTATGAAACGGCTTCGAAAAAATGTTTCAGACAAATATCAGCATGTAATTGGTATTAAATGTTGCTTGCATGTTTTTAATTTAATTGCGAAAGGAATTTCATCTTACCAACGATATCAAAACACAATTAAAAAAAATTTAACATTAGTAAATTTTTTTACTAATTCACATTTTTGAAATACAAAATTAAAACAATGAGCTTTAGAAAATAATATCTAGAGTGGACTACAAACTTTTTGTGAAACTCGATGGTATTCACTTTCAAAAATTTGTCTCTCAGTTCAAAATCATGAAGGAGGTTTTCAAAATTGTCTTGAATATAGTATTAACTTTCCTCGGGAATGTCCTTCTATTCCAACTAAAATTAAAGAAATAATTATAAGTCGTCGACATTTTCTTGAAAATGAACAATTTACTCTCATTCTTCGATATGTAGTTGATGCGATTGCAAAACTTGAATCTAATAATATAACTTTAGGTGATATATTTGCAGAATTATTGCTTATTTATAAAAAATTATAATCAAGTGAATTTGAAGACTTTGATTATGGATTGGTCGATCATGCAAAAGATGTAGTTAATTTTCGGGCAAAAGAATTTGATGAACCTATATATTATATAGCATTTTTTTTAAATCCAAAATTTCACAAAATTGCAGTATCAAAAAAACTAACCTTTAATAATATAGTAGTTTATGCATTAACATTTGCACAAATATGGAATTTTACACGTGATCAAGCAAAGCAAATTTTACAAAAATTATTATTAGACTATTATAATAATGAACCACCTTTAAACTTAACAACTTTAGAACTACGAGCTTATTGGAAAAAGGGTTCTCATCAAGCTAGAGCATTAAAAATATTAGCATTAAAAATATTTGCTATTCGTCCTCATTTTGCTGAAGTAGAGCGACTATTTTCACGTATGGGTATAGCAAAAACAAAAATTCGAAATCGATTAGCTACTTCAACATTAAAAATGATTTCACAAATAAATCTCGCATTATCTACAGAAATTCCCAAAAAAGGCTTAGATAAAAAATTAGTAGCCAAAAAAGAAAATAATAATATTTCAGATAATTGCAACACATTATTTTCTTTTGATTTAATAGATTTAATGAATGAAGAGGATAATGAGTTAGAATTTGGTAATATTCAAGAAATCTCTTTAGAATCGTTACCAAATAATTCAGATTTATTTATGGAAGAGTTTATTAATTTTGATGCTATTGAAGAATTAATATTAATATCAAATGAAGTAAAAAAAATTTCAAATGAAGCTGAAAATACAACTAATTGGACTTTAGATGATATTTTAAATACAAATTAATAAGTATCAGATATATAAATAAATAAATCTACACGTATATTGTGAAAGGCCTAAGAAAGTCAATCAACCTACTCTTTTTTTTTTTTTTCTCTCTGTTTTCTTTCTTTTCTTGCTTTTTTTTTCTTTTTTTTCTCTTTTCCTTTTTAGTTGTTATTTCTCTTTTTAGAAAAGCTCAACGTATATATATATAAGCTTAATTAATACATTTCCAAAATTCGTCAAATCCAAAAATAGAAAGCGAAAGGAAATCATTACCATAATTGTATAGTTCGATAAGTTCCACTAACGCTAATCGAACTTATTCGCCTAATTAAGCCTATCGCCCTAGTTTAACTTATCACCCTAGTTTAACTAATTACACTAGTTTAACTTATCATCCTTAATGAACCTAGATAATTCATTGGTTTATTGTAACTAAGTCTACGATGTATTTAATAAGAATATAAAAACTATATAAACGGTATGGTACCTTTTTGTGTGAATAAAAAATTAACTCAGTAGAGTTCAAAAGCTTTGGAATATCGAGTAGAAGTCGTAGTCACTAATAAATTTTTCTTTTATTCATTTATTTCCTTTGTCTTTTTTCCTGTGATTATATTTCATATTAAATTGTCAAACGTTGTTAGTTCTTGTCCCCGTGATTTTTATATATATCTTCTCTTCGTATTGAGTAAAGAGAAAAGGCAACAATTAATAAGCAGACCCCTTATATAATAAAAATCCATCGTGATTAAATCAACGCCATTGTGTAAAAATTCAAACCATGAACCTATGATCCTGTGACTTACTCTGATTGGCCAAAATCAAATCACAAGACTCAACCGCAGTATCTACGAATCAAAGAAAGAAGTGTATTAGCGAAAGTGCTCCAAAGAATAAATCATTCAATAAGAAAGTACAAGAACACTTATCTAAGTCGAACACTATCATTATAAA